GCACTGACTGCCTCGCTGGCTGCTTTGGGTTCAGCTGGAACGCCTCGCTTCACCTCCACAGCGGGGTTCTCTTCGTCCCCAACTTTAAGTTCAAATCCGGGCGGGACGGGGTTGATTTGGGGCGGGGTGGGGTGGGGAGCTTAAGGGGAGGCGGCTTGGAAACAAGGTTTTCAAAACTTGGTTCTGCTGCATAACTAGATGTGAAACCTAGGGCAAGACAACCGATTGCACTTCTGAAGATCCCCAAAAGGGGTTACGAGGGTGTTTAAGGAGTCATGTGTGTAAAGCACCACCATTTAATAATACTCAAAATCAGTGCTGCTCAAAGCAAAGAAACTTGCTTTGTGTCAATGGGTATTTACTTGATATGTTTACATTTACACTTTTCCCTTTTCAAATTATGTTGTAATTTCTTCTTGCAACTGCGCTGAAGTGCAGCGTATGGTTCTTTCCTTCCCACACTGCTGCAAGCAGTGCTGAATGACCAAGACTGGGAAACCTCGCATGGTCTTGTTTATCACCACAGCTTGCTTAGCTTGAGATGCTCAGTAAATAGTTGGTGATTGTATACTCCCATAAACTTTAAAAATAGGGCAATGGACCGTCCCACTACCTCCACCCTCTCAGTCTCACTTGGTAAGACAATCCCTGGTGACAGTAATATAAAATTGTAATCACTTAGGTTTATGTCCCATTCACTTGAGTCCATTGCTGATAGCTGTTCGGGTTGGCTCAAGATGCATGAAAACCCACCTACCTATACGCTGGCAGTGCTGCTTCCAGGCTGTGGCCTCAAGGCTGGCTTACTACAAGATGACGCATTTGAAAAGGAGTAAGACTATCCCAGTCACCAAGAGTTTCTCACCCAGCAGTTTATGACTTGGGGTGGGGAGGACAGGGAGAAATAATAAGCTGAAGCTCCGGAAAAGCCTGAGAAATAATAAGCTGAAGCTCCAGAAAAACCTGGAATCTATTCACGTTACAACCATTATCAGGAAGACAGGCCACACTTCAGTCAACCTCCAGTTTATCCCAATGAGTAAAGAAAAACAAAGATCTTTTACACCTCACCATAGTTTAACTTCATGCTGTCTAATGTACAAAACTAAGGTAAAAATAAGAGTTGAGAACCTAAACACAATCACCTACATAAAAGTTACAAGTTATTTCACATGTGTTAGAAGGACATAGTATTTAAAGAAAACCTACAACTCTGAATGACCATCTTATTCTGCATTACCAAACCCTAACAAAAGAGGGAAGAAAGATTATTTTTATTATTCTAAATCATTATTCAAAAAGTGACCCACTCATTTTTCAGGTTGGATTTTTCACCAAATAGGTTTTTTTTAAAAAATGACATTAGAAATTTACAACCTAAAATAGAAATATAATTTTCCCTTTAGAAAAAAAATTCATGATATTATAAAGTAAAGATAAAAGGTACTATCTAAGTATTTAATAATTCCAAGTGTCCTGTGAGGGAAAGGTTTTGTTGTATGTGGGTGTGTTTTTTCCTGATTAAAAGAAACTTCTCAAGGTCATACAACTAAGAGAACATAGAACTAAGTTGCTGGTCTCAGATTTTAGGCACGAGACATTAACTCAATGATAATGCATGCTTATACTATGAAAAAGTCATAATGGGCAGGTTTTCATAGTGTTATAACTCGACCTTTGAAAAAGTAACATGTAAGGACATAGCAATGACAGTATTTGGACTAGCAACTCCATTTTTGGTTATTTCCCCAATCTTGAATTCACAAACAACCTAATTTATTTTAAAAGTGGTGGAGGAAAGAGTCTATGGCTTCTTGATTTGTTCTAAAAGACATTTCTACATTAACTATCACCCTATTAAATTTCAAAAGTGCATATACCCATTCTAAGAGCCATATCAAAAATAAAAACTGGGCTCTTTTCCCAAAGACCCATGCTTTTTCTTCAAGGAATGAAATTCTGTATCTAATTTTAATGCTTAAGGATAGCCCTTCGAAAACAGTTTTCTCATACCTACTTATAAATTAAATCCATACAGAAGCAAATGAATGATCCTGTTGTTCCTTAACCTAAATATATTCCTTTAGCAATTGTCTAATATATGGATTTGAGATTCTATAAAACTTCAATTTAATTGCCGTGTTCAAGCAAGAGGAAAATGCCTCACAACACAACTTTCGTAAACTACATTCAATTTAAAATAGGTGAAGGCTTTATCATGGGCCTTGTATTTGAGCTTCATTGACAGAAATCTTTTGATTGTATCTAGATAGCCAGGTTGTATTCCCATTTAAGATTATATATAGCATAGCCCTGGTTGGTTGGAGTGTTGTCCCATGCACCGGAGGTCTTGGGTTTGATTCCCAGCCAGGGCACATGCCTAGGTTTCGGGTTAGATTCGGGTTCAATCCCATATAACAGACAACCGATCGATGTTTCTCTCTCTCCCTTCCTNCAATCCCATACAACAGACAACCGATCGATGTTTCTCTCTCTCCCTTCCTCCCTCTCTAAAANAGATTCGGGTTCAATCCCATATAACAGACAACCGATCGATGTTTCTCTCTCTCCCTTCCTCCCTCTCTAAAAAGAAAAAAAAAAAAAAAAGATTATATATAGGATAAATTCTCATTAAGTCCCCTTGACATACAGATTAGACGATTCGTCAAATATCCTATTATGTGTGTTAAGTTTAAATATGTAGCATTAATATCTCCTAATGAATAAATTTTAATGAACTTCCATTATGTATATCAAATTAACACTATAAAAAACTTCGAGTGAGCTCGTTTTGAAATTTCACACATCTCAAATACTGTAAATAACCCATTATGTCTTATTTCAACAGGTGTCTAGTTTTATTGCCTCAAAACAGGGACAACTATGTTAATTAGACATTCAAATAAGAAGAATTTAAGTGCCTATTCTGAGAAATGTATTTTTTAATCCCTTAGTATTCTATATGTGTTGCATTTGCTTTAGTCATGACCACTAGTCTCTAACATAACTCACTACTTTAAAGTTCAAGTGATGCTTAATTAATTCTTAAACTGTAATTTAGCCTTGTCCTAACATCAAGTACTTTTTCCATTGTCATTTGACTATGGCTGATCTAAGATTTGCTAAAGAGTTCCCAGGAGTTATTGGGTTACTAGTTTCAACTGACTCCTGGAAACAATGAATGGCTGCTTTGGAGGCCTTTATCTTAATAATACTCAGATTTAAATAAATTTGAGAAGACAGAACTAAATAAAAAACACTCAAGAAGGCTAGGAGTTTTACAAATTATCTTTCAAAATAATAGATAATGAAGCATCTACATAGATTGAAGTTATTAGCATTATAGCCAGTTACCTGAGGCCAGACCACAGGATCAGAGACCACCACTAATCATTCTTCTGGCACTTTAGGAACTAATGTCTTCTAAAGCAAGGTCTAAAATGAGTTATACTAATAGCAAACTGCACTTACAGAAAGACTCCATTATCTTTTGAAGTTAGAGCAAGGGATAAACACTTTCAACAAAGCACTAATAAAAGTTTTATAGCATGGATATTATCTTCGTAAAAATTAATGCTAAGCCCAGCCAGCCTGGCTCAGTGGTTGAACATGGACCTAGGATCCAGGAGATGGAGGTTTGATTCCTGGTCAGGGCACATGGGGAAGCAGCTGATCAATGTATCTCGCACATCAGTGTCTGTCTGTCTCTCTCCTCCTAAAAAAAAAAAAAAAAAAA